GACAAAGATTTGTCCTGACTGTGGGCAAGGCGGAAAACTCTAGCAACACTCCTGGACTCCTCCTTCTCAAATAAATCTCTTTCTCTAAAGAGTTTTGGGTGTGAAGATCTTCATTCACCCGTGTAGAGAAGACCCTTGCTGAGATATCCCTCAGTGGACAGAGCAAGGAAGAGCTGAAAGAGCTGAAAAAGTACCACTTTTCTCCAGAGCCAGAGATTGCTACATTTATGCAGGGGTTTCCCCTTTTACAGAGTGAAGCAAAAGAAGCAACATCTTAGGCTGGAGAATCAGAGCTCTGCTAGGAAGCCCCCTTAAGTGGGGGCTGAGCAAAATTCATCTGTAGAGGCTCTCCAGGAGAGGAGCAGGATTGCTATATCCTGCGGGGAGACCATTCCCCACCACACCAGGTATAACCTGACTTTTCTGAATAGTCAGGATAACCTAACTTTCCTGAACAGTAAGGATACCCTTGCCTGCTGAAGCAGTTCCAGGCCTGACTTTCCCAAGAAGTCAGAAAAACGTCCCCTCCAGGGTTGGGCTGTCTCTTTGCAGCTCCAGCCACCAGAACTGTCCTAAGCAGCTCAAGGTGTTGCCTGACTCCCCAGATAGTCAGGACACCTTTCCCCAGAGTTGCAAAACTCACATTTTGGTGCCAAAATCTGGTACCAAACCCACAGAGTTGTAACAAATTTACTTACAGGTGTCATTCCCCAGCATCTGTGAGTGTTTGTTTTGTTTTGTGATGAGATCTTACCAGCATGGACCTTATGCCAAGTAGACTAGGCTGGCAGGCTGGGAGATACCAGAGATCTGTGCCCTCTGACTCTCCTCCATCCCCACCAGCTAGGATTATCAGCAGTTGACACCATGCCAGCTTTTTTTTTTTTTTTTTAAACTTGTGTTCTAGGGATCAAACTTATGTCTTTCTGCTTGCAAGGCAAGCACTTGACCAAATGAGCCACCTCCCCAGCCTAAGATCTAAGTGGTTTTGATAAAAACAAAAACAAAAACAAACAAACAAAAAAACCACCCTGCCTTGAGGTCTCTGAAAGGTAATGTAGCAGGCACTGTCCTCATACTTCACATGTCAGATGGGCCCTTCTGTGGCAAAGTTAGTGGATACAGCTCAGCTGTGTGACCTCCAGAATCAGCCACATTTACAGTCTGATTCCAGAAGGTAAAATAGGAGGATCATAGGGGAGGGGTGTCTCAGGTTAGAGAAGCGGAAAGAACAAAGGTTCTCAGAACACTTCCCTAATGGAAGTATTACAGCTGAAGGGAAAGGCTTCCCCAGTGGAAGTTGTCTTAGAGTTTTTATTGCTGTGAAGAGACACCATGACCACAGCAACTCATAAACAAAACATTTCATTGGGGGGGGGGCTCCC